AAAGGAGACACTTCATATAGGATTGTCGGAAGGAATAAATAAGTTCATATCTAGAATAGGGCCTGACACATAGTAGGTGCTCAATAAATACTACAACATATAGTATTACGGTGTTATGTATTTTAAACACGTTAGCTCATTTAACTGTGATACCTTCCTGACGAGGCAGGGCGGATTGGTCCTATGTGGCAGGTGAGGAAACTGAATCTGCGAGAGGCCACCTGCTGGAGATCGCACAGCCAGCATGCGGCTGAGGCGGGTTCAAACTAGGAATGTCTGACATTAGATCTTCCTGGCCGTCACGTCCACTCACTGTGGCCCAGCTCGATTCCCTGCAATAAGTGACAATGGCCATTAAGTTTGAGCAAGAGGCACTGGAGTCATTACCCAGGGAAACAAAATTTTAATATTTATTTATAATGGGCACCATATGCTCCCTCTGATTTTTTTATTTAATTACATCATGGCAGATGGCTGGGTGTTAAAGGCCATTTAGCTAATGGCACTTTGCCTTCTCATTTATTTTCCCGAGTTTTGGGAGGATGAGCGGCTATGGACATGGATGGTGCGCTGTGAGTGCTGGGTGGTGGCGGGCAAGTCCCCGACCTAGGAACAGAGAGGAGGAAGTGTGGGGTCTTCCGGGCTCTCCCTAGGAGGTGCCTGAGGGTGCGCGAGGGTGCACATCCTGTGACTAGGAGCCTGGAGAAGGTTTCTCCTGTGCGCGTGCACACACACATACACACACACACACGCAGAACCTTGGACACAGTAATCCCGCTGTTTTGATGCAGGAAATAAATCTATACAGACGTGGCCATTGCAACTTTGCAAAGACTGGCCCAAAACTAGGAAAACATCACAACAGGGGGTCCACACACCATGTCTGGGTACAGTGTGGACCTGGGGTCCTGGGGTTCATTGGGTTACTAAAATTTTGTGTTCCTGTGGTCCAGAAGCAAGGATGAGAAGGGACTTTGAGTAAAGGAGCCGGGGGGAGAGGGGGCGGTCCGTCTACCTGGAGCCGTGTCTGAGGCTGCCTTCGTATGGCATTTGGACGTTACCTCTATGGGCGGGGCACATACAGCATTCGTTACAGATCTGCCAGGCTGGCCAAAATGAAAAGGACTGACAGCATTAAGTGCTGACATGGATTTGGCGCAACGGGAATGCTCACACTCTGTTGAAGGGAGTTGTCACGACAGCCACTTTGGAAAACAAGTCAGCATTTCTCAGGGTAGTCATGAGATGCTCACACAGTAGGACCTAGCAATTTCACTCCTAGGTATATATACACCCTACATTAATTCTTGCACATGTGTGCCAGGAGACAGGTTTGCAGCAACTAGTGGGGGATTTCATTCTGCCCAAGCCGTATGAGCTGATAATTGATGCTGGAGAACCTCCGTGAAGGTAAATGGGGTCCTTATACCAGAAAAAAACAGGGTACTAGGCAGACAAAACCATATATATTCTTTACAAATTATTACAATAAAAGGTAACGCTTGCATATATCAACTCACTCAGTCCTCACACAAACCCTATGAGATAAATACTGTTATTTCCCCATTCTGTTGATGAGGAAACTGAGGCACTGAGAGATTAGTACCTGCCTTAAATGGCTCAATGGAAATAAGATACTCAGCACAGTGCCTGGCACATAGTAAATGCTCAACAAATACCGGTGATTTCTGATATTTTTATCCTTAGACCAAGACCAAAATTGCACCCCTGGCCGGGGCTCCCAGTGTCTTGGAGATCTCCAGCTGCCTCTCCTACCTAGAACTGTGAAGAAATCAGACCTTTACAAGCCCACTTTCTCGGTAGCTGTTTCTTGGCCCAGCTTGGATGGCCAGGGGTCAGCTGGTCCTGGAGCCCGGGCCCTTAAGTAAAGTTCAGGGGCTGTGGAGAGAGGGCTGGACTCCTGCCCAGCCTCATGGCTTCCAGCCAGATCTGCCCGCCCCCGGAATCTGGAAGGAGCACTGTGGCCCCTTTCAGGGGAGGGAGGGAGGGCGGGCAGGGCAGGCCGCACCTTC